AACATCACGTCGTTCATCAGGCAGGCCAAGGCCGCGCGCCGCGCCGACGAGGTGCGCACGCTGCAGGAGAACCTGCGGCAGCTGCAGGACGAGTACGACCAGCAGCAGACGGAGAAGGCCGTGGAGCTGTCGCGGAGGCAGGCCGAGGAGGAGGGCCTGCAGCGCGAGCAGCTGCAGATGCTCAGGGAGCGCGAGTGGGAGCGCGAGTGCGAGCAGTTCCAGGCCGCCGCGCTGCACCCGCGGACGCCCTTCCACCTGGAGGCCTCCCGGGGGCCGCGCACCCACCTTGCCCACGCCCTGGACCTGGGCTCATTCCCCGTTCAGAGCGCCACCATCCCCGAGACCCCCTCCCCCAGCTTAGCTCGAGCTCCCGTCCACGCGGCCTCCGGGCCCCCGGCCCTGGGCCAGGACGTCCTCCCCCAGACCACTGTGTCACAGCGAAATGACGTGCCTTCCCTGAACCCCTTCGACGAGGAGGACCTCTGCAGCCCCACCGAAGAGGGTGCCGTCAGCCCCGCTGCTGCAGAGGCCGCCCCCCGCCCTCCGGCCCCTGTCCCCAAAGAGTACAACCCTTTTGAGGACGACGACGAGCAGGAGGCCGAGCCCGGGAATCCCTTCACTGGCCCTAACGGCGCAGCGCCCAACCCCTTCGAGGACGAGGAGGACCGTCCCCACCCGAGGTCTGCAAGCCCCCCTGCCCCTGGCAACCCCTTCGAGGACAGCGACAGTGGCCCCGAGGCGGAGGCGCCCATCGAGGAGGAGCTGCTGCTGCAGCAGATCGACAACATCAAGGCCTACATCTTCGACGCCCAGCAGTGCGGCCGCCTGGACGAGGTGCAGGTGCTGACCGAGAACCTGCGCGAGCTCAGGTGCACCCTGGCCAAGCAGAAGGGGGGCCCTGACTGACGGGGCGCGGGGCGGGGCCTGCTGCGCTGTGCCCTGGGAGGGGTCGCCACCACCAGTAACGGGAAGGGGTCACACTAGCAAAGACGCGGTCACTCGCTGGCTTCCCTACATTTTTTTTTTTTTTTAATTGGGGGTTCCCCCTTTGGAAAGGGACTTCAAAGTTTTACTATGGAGTTTTAAGTCACGCTGCTGTCCAGGGCCAGGGCAGAAATGGCCGCGGTGTGCCTCTGGGGTCCGTTCCCAGCTGCCCAGTCCCAGTCATTGTGCAGTATTATGGGGTGGCCTTGTGTAGGGCGTCCCTTTAATGAGTTCCGCAGCGTTGTACTCGGCTACAGCAGAAGTCACCCCGTTAGGCTCTGGGTTCGGTTTCACCTGTGGCTTCCTCAGCGCGATGCTCAGAGTCTCCTACCTTTGTAGTCGAGGGGGACCCCGAGAGCCCAGCACCTCTTTTTATGACAAGGGTTTAACCCGTTGTCTCCCACTGTCCTATGTCCAGGACACCTATAAAAACTGGAGCAGTTTTTATAGGTGTTCTGCATATAAGACGATGATGCATATGGGTTAAGGAACAAAGCTCCTCCCAGGGCTAGGGTGTCTGTGAACTTGACCATGAGTGCTGTAGGAACCAAGAGCAGCCGGCTTTCTGATGTTAGCATTGTTGGGGAGAAGAGCTTCTCCAGATGTTGCTGTGATGGCACCGTGGTCTGTGCCCAGGGACCTCCCTCCTGAGCTTTGGCTGGTGACTCTGATCGGGGCTCAGCATACGTCTCAGGAATCAGAGGTCAGGAAGCTTTTGTGCAGCATCATCAGGAGAGGAGAAGCTGCCCTGGGTTACAAGACAAACTGACTTCCAAGGCTGTTCCTCAGCCCTCCTCCTCTAGCTCACCCTTCCCGGGCACTGGTAGACGTCGTTTTACCATTTTAGTATTAAGACACTGCAATGTTTGAAGAGGCACAGCCCAGGATCATTCCACAAGTGGCCTCAGTCCTCATTGAGGCCAGAAGAGGACACTGACCGACTGGCATCATGATAACCCAGTGCTAGGCAGGGCCTCTGCAATTCCACTTGTTAGTTCATGAACAGTAACTGACCACTAGTCACTTTATACCCTTTAACGAACTCTGGGTCAAGCGCCCGTGGGCTCCTGGTGTGACAGCTGAAATCCATTTGTTGCACGCAGGTGAAGACCCCTCTAGACGATGCGAGTATAGACTCCTGAGAGCGTGAACACCTGGGTCCCCTCTGCTCCTCTCTCTCTAGCACCTGCTGGGATTTGGGGCCATAAGAAAAAGTCCTGTAGAGGGTTGTAGGAATGAGGGGCAGTAGGGTGTGGAGGCCGCTGTGTCTTGGGCTTCTGCTCCCGAGGGCTGTAGGTGGGCTCTTCTGGGAAGTGTGCGGCTGGCATCTAAGATGTCACCCGCTGCAGGCCCCTTTTCTTCTCCAAGCCCTTGATGCTGTCACTCTGGGGCTCTGGAGATCCTCAGCAGGCGCCTCCCTGTCATTTCTGTCTGACTGAAGAGGAGGAGGTTCTGCACTGAGGGAAGCGAACTGCTGCTTCCTCTCAAGTTGCTTTTTTTGTTTTTTAGGAGAATGTCTCTTAGCTGGTAATTTCAATGAAGACTGATTCCCCAAATCTCCTTCCCTGAGATCGACCCCAGGTAACAATAAGCAAGCGTAGTGAGAAACGCAAGTTTTTAAAAACTTTAGAATAAAACCAACTCACGGAATATACTAAACCCAGCTAAAATCAGAGCCCTCGGGTCTCTCGAGATTCTTCCATGCTCATCTTCTTCCAGTGAGTTCTTCCATGGTCAGGGTCTCCTGGAAACCAGACAGGACAGGAGCCAGAGCTCTCTACCCCCTGGACAGAATCATTTCCCAGAAAACACGCTGGCAGAAGGATGGATTTCAGAGTGGGGCTGACGTCAGGAAGGCTGGCCCCTGAACTCTAACTCCAGTGTCAAGTTCTTACCTCATGTGACTGTCTCGCTGCCCTTCAGAGCATGCAGCTCCCTCTGGTCCACAAACCTGCGGCACTGGCAGATCTCCTAGCTTAGATCACGGTCATAGTGAAAGAGACTTCCGGGACTGAGGCGTCTAGTGAAGCTGGCTTCCCCTCACACGCCTTGTCCCTGTTTCCCTGTCTAATACACAAAGGACACTTGCTCATTTCATTTGCGACTCAATGTAGCTTTGCCGTCCAGACACTAAAATGTACCTCTGAGTCCTCGCAAGCCATGCGGAAGGTTGGACATTGGCCTAGTTAGTTGATGGGATTGAAGTGGGAAGTTGGCCTCTTCATCAGGTCGCAGACTGGAGTAGCAGACTGTGCTGGTCATCTGATGAGGTAGTCGGAGGTGGTTTATGTGCATGTGCTACTCTGGGGCCTTGGAACCTTTTTTAAACAATAAAATAACAGCTATTCATGGTCGGGGGTGTGAGTGTGTATGTATGTCCACAGGTGCCCACGGGTGCCTCCAGTGATACTCGCCACAAAACGTCCACCATTCTCGATGGTGACTGTCCCAACTCCCCTGTTACTTGTCTGGTGAAGGCCTCTGGATAAAAATCAAGGTCACTGAGCAGGGGATAGATATCAGTTCCATTTCTGCTTTACCCCAGGTGACCAGCAGTACTGAGCCACTTCACACCAGCACAGTCCCACTCCCCCCATTTCACACTGGAAGAAAGTGAGGCCCGGGAGGTGGGGAGACCTGCACCTACCACTGTGCCAGGCACTCCACAGCATGTCCTCACCTCCCTGCTCGCCAGCAGGCCCAAGTGTCCATGTGGCAGGTGGAAAGAGGGTGGCCTGGCGTGGGTCACACAGCCAGTGTGGAAGGAGTGTTGAAACCCAGCCCCCCTCCTGCCCTCAGTGGAGGAGTTTGAGGTGGCTCAGGGATGGGGACAGATGGGGGATATGGGGGGTACTCTATCTTGCCATTCCTGGTGTTGATTTCAGGAAAGGTGTAGATTTAGTGAATCAGTTTTCATTGAGATTACCAGTTAAGTAAAAGATGTATTCCCATAAGAAAAACAATTATGATAGAAAGCAGCATCAACATTCTGTAGGTGCAGAGAACTGCCTCCTCTTCAGAGGGAAATGGCAGAAACGGGCAATGGGGAAAGAAGTTGGGTGCTCCTGGGCCTCGAAACTCAGACCTCCCCAGGACCTATGTGGATTGCTAAATGAGGGGATGATTAGTGCTGACTGTGGGCCACAGTGAACCCCAAGTATATGGCATGGATTACTTCCATCTTCCCAAGCGCCCAGTTAATAGGTGATGAATGGGGTGGGGTATATTTAAACTTGCTTAACACTGCTCTGCTGAACCCAGGGCCTCACACGTGCTAAACAAGCATTCTACCATTTTAGCTACACCTGCAGCCCTTTTTAAAATTCTTTTGACGCAGGGGGCGGGGGTGTCTCAATAAGTTGCCCAGGATGGCCTCGAACTTATGATCCTCTTGCCTCAGCCTCTCCAGTAGCTGGCAAAAGTATCCTTCACAAGATTCGCTAGTGAGGTCCAGAGGTACAGGTCCCAAACCATTCATTTTTTTTCCTTTGGCAAATCAGCTTGTTTTTGATTTGAAAATGGTGTACTTTGAACATTTTTTCCTCCTGGGTGTTGAACCGAGGGGCGCTCTACCACTGAGCCACATCCCCAGCCCTTTTTATTTTGAAGACACGTCCTCGCTAAATTGCCCAGGCTGGCCTCTAACTTGCGATCCTCCTGCCTCAGCCTCTCTGGTCGCTGGGATTACCACCGCGCCGGGCTCCAACTCTTCATTTCAAAACTGAAGATTTTGAGAGAGAAAAATGGGTTGATTTGGGGGCTGAATCGCCAGCTCTCAGTTGACTTGGCAGCGGTAACAGGTGTATTGATTTATTTCCTATGGTAGAGTTCGAGCCTATTTTAAAATACTTTCCCGTGGGCGGGTGGGGAATTGACTAATTGACAGAACGTGAAAATACAAAAGCTCCCAGGTGGCGTTGGCTATCAGAGCCGCGCACTCCCGCTTGCCCGCGCCCAGCCAGGGCCGCCGAGCGGGACTACAAATCCCAGGCTGCCCCGCGGCGGCGCGCGGCCCGCCGGGAGGCGCCTCCCGTGATTCCGTGCGGGCGTGGAGACCCGCGAGGAGAAAAGCGGCGCGAGCTGTTCCGGGCCCGACGGCTGCCGGCTCGCGTCTCCTCGCGGGCCAGCCCCCCCCGTGTCTCCGCCGCCATGCCTATGAAGGGCCGCTTCCCCATCCGCCGCACCCTGCAGTACCTGGCCCAGGGCACCGTGGTGTTCAAGGACTCGGTGAAGGTCATGACGGTGAACTACAACACGCACGGGGAGCTGGGCGAGGGCGCCAGGTCAGTGTCCGGCGGACCGCGACCCGTTCCCGTGCCAGCGCGCTGCCCGCGTCACCCACCGAACAGACTGAGCGCCGCGGGGCCGCCCGCAGTCGTGCCCAGAGGCGCGGGGCAAGGCCCGCCCTTGTCTCCTTCCTGCCGCGTGGTGTGACAAGGCCACCCTGAGGAGGCCACTGGACCCCTTGGCCCCCATGTGGCTGGAGAGCTGGGGAGGGGCAGCCCAGGACGTGGCTCGGGTCCCAGCTCTTCCACCTGTGGCGTTGGGCGAGCTGCTCCAGCTAGGTGTCCCCGACAGGGACGGTCACTCCGCCCAGGGGGAGGCGTCAGAGAGAGACAGCTGTTGACATCTAGCTAGCCCTTGTCAATGCCACTCAGGCATCACGTCGCCTGATTTTTAAGGGCACCCGAGGGATGGGGAGGCCCCTCTGGGGGCTGGCCCGAGGTGCCGAAGCTGCCCAGGGGGCGTGGTGGGCGGCGAGTGGGGCTGGGGGCGTGGCGAGTGGGGCTGGGGGCGTGGCGAGTGGGGCTGGGGGCGTGGCGGCGCTGGCCACGGGTGGGCCGGTCACCACGCAGTGGAGCGAGTTTCGCAGCTGTCCCCGCTTAAGGGAAACGCGCGGTCGTCAGCCTGGAGTGGGAACTGGGGCGTGGCACTTGGCGAGTGAAAAGCTCGAACTGACCCCTGCGCGTCTCTGCGCTCTTCAGGCGTCAGCAGGAATGTGTTGAGTGACCCTGGAATGTGGGGACTTCAGGGTCGGAGCAAATAGCCCGAGCCAGCCGGAGCAGGAGTCTGGGAGGGAGCTCATTGGGAGGAAGCTCCTTGTGGAGCGAGTGTCCCACGGGAAGGGCTTGGACGGCAGGGTTGATGGAAAGAGCCAGAAGCCTCCTCGTAGCCATTGCTCTAAGCAGGCGAAGGCCAGAGCTCGGGCCTGCTTATGTGGGCTCAGCGGGGTGAGGGCTTCCAGAGGACTTGGGCTTGGGGAGAATGGGCGCCCACAGAGTCCTTCAAAACCCACTGACTGGCCCCATGTCGCTTGCCAGCCTTTGCTCATTCAGGGGCCCTCCACATTTTTTTTCTTCCCTTTTCTTTTTGGTCCCAGGAATTGAACCCAGGGGCGCTTAACCACTGAGCCACATCCCCTCCACCATGCGGCCTGCGCAATGGTTTCATTAATGAGGTTCTTGGCATAAAGTTAGTTAGAAGAGATCGAATTAAAACACACAGACTCAGTTACCTTATTTCTATTGCCAGGTCCGAGACGGCTCCCCTCTCTGGCTCCAACCTCTAACCGCCCAGCAGGGCAGCAAGGATTACTCAGGGCTAGCAGGAGAGAGAGAGAGAGTGAACACGCCAGGGAGTAGCCTTTTATTGGGGAACAAGAAATTCAGGGGATAATTCCATCCAATGAAGGTTGAGGGGGGACTGCACTCCAAGGTCAGGGTCAGTGATTGGGCCCCCAGGGTCAGTGGTCAGTCACACCCCCACACGGACGGGTTCTCTCATCAGGAAAGGGCCGGGAAAATTCTGACACAGCCAGAAGCCTCAGACCCTTAAGGGGAGCCGCCCAGTCACGTGTCAGAATGGCTTCCCACAATCCCCAGTCCGTTTTATTTTTTATTTTGGGACAGGGTCACCCTGAGTTGCTTTGGGCCTTGATAAGTTGCTGAGGCTGGCTTTGAACTCGAGACCCTCCTGCCTCAGCCTCCACAGTCACTGAGATAACAGGCGTGTGCCATTGTGCCTGGTGGCCCTCAGGATTTCTTTTGCCCCAAGACCTTCCTCCATTCCAGGTGCCAGTGGCCAGTACTGTGGCCTCAGGCGAGCCAAAGCCATGGGTGTCCACTGGGTAGTGGGAGTGGCCTGAGTGTAGGAGGGCTCACCTCTGACAGTGGAGGCCCAGAGCAGTCACAGCCACAGCCTTGAGTGTCCCAGCTGTGTGACCCCCGCACTTTGGCAACTAAGGAAACTGAGGTGCTAAGTGCGGGGGTCACACAGCACCTCAGTTTCCTTAGTTGCCAAAGCCCACCCCCAGGGTTGTCCTGAGTGTTGGGGGAGTAAGATGCCCAACCAAATGACAGGCCAGCGCAGCAGGCACGAACTTGAATTTCCGTCATCTGCCCTTAACTCTGTCCTTACTTCACAAGAACCGTCCTGGGGGCTGGGAGGACCACCAAAACCTTCTGAGAGCCGTGTGGCGTTTTCGTCTCAGCAGTTTCAGGCCTTGTCCTGGTTCATCTGCACGAGGTTCTGTGGTGTTGTGGTGTGACCAGCAGGGACCCCGTGAGCCCAGAGGTGGGAGTAGGGAGTCTGCAGGGCTCAAGTTCACCTCCATGTAAGTAAATAACAAACCCAGAGAGGCCCCTCTTGGGTTTTGAGCTGTAGGCCACGGGGGAGAGGAGGCCTGGCTCTGTCCTCCCACTGCTCCCCACCTGCCCCTGGGGCTCACCCAGCCCTGCAGGGCCTTCCTGCATTCAGAGCACTGTTCCTCCTGGGAATCGGCTTGGCTTCCTAAGCTCTGGGTACAGCTGAATGCTATGATCCATTTTTCCTTTTTGTTTTAGCAAATCCCTTTGTTTTCCCTGTAGCTAATTGACATTGTTTTAATTCAGCTGAGGATTCTGTCCTAATGGGGACATGTCCTCAGAAGGTGGCGGAGTCGGGCTTTCTATTATTTCAGTTGTGGAAACATCTTAGAGGCTTCAGCCTGGACTGGTGGTGTGCTTCGCCATCTCCTTGGCATGATCACGAGGCACGGAGCGGCCGCCCTCTCTGGGCCGGGCAGCTCGAGGCTGGTGAAGTGCAAAACCCTAGACTGGGGTGGGAGAGGGGTTGGCAGTGGAAGCCTGAGGACCCAGAGGGCTGCTGACAGGAACCTGCTGCTGAACCAGGGGAAAGAAAGTGCCAGTCTGTCACCAGCACTTTCCATCAGCGGAACTCACCTCGTGGTCAGCAGCGTGGCAGAGGTGGTGAGGTCAGCTCTGGGACAGGAAGGTCTGGACACGTGGCTGTGTGCTGCTTGTTTTTCTTGTGCTGCTGGGGATGGGACCCTGCCTCAGTCCTCTCCCCTTGTTCTGTCCCTGGGCTGTCACAGATGAGCCCACAGTAGACCTCAGGGTATGAAAGTGTGAAAGCAGAGGTGAATTGCTGGAGTTAAGATCTGTGCTTTCAAAAGAAGTGAAGGCAATTTACATTTATGTCTCTACATATTTCTTTCTCTCAGCATTGAGGATTGAACCCTAGGGGTGCTCTACCCCTGAGCCACAACCCCAATCCTCTTGGAGACAGGGTCTTGCTACATTGTTCAGGCTGGCCTTAAACGTGCATGTTGCACCATACCTAGCCCCAATTTATATTCTTTTGTTGTTTTTGTTCTGGTACAGGGCATTGAATCCAGGGGTGCTTCACCACTGAGCCACATCCCCAGACCTCTTTTTATTTTGAGACAATGTCTTGCTAAATTGCTTAGGGCCTCACTAAGTTGTTGAGGCTGGCCTCCAACTTGTGATCCTCCTGCCTCAGCCTCCCGAGCCACTGGGATCACAGGTGTGCGTCACCACACCCATTCCAGTTTATATTCTTCATGAAATGTTTCCTTTCTTCTGTAACTGTTTTTTAAAAAAGTTAATCCTCCAAGATGAAAAGGAATCTTTTTAATTTACATGAGTTGAGTGGGAAGGTTCTAGAACATAGGATGATGGGCCATTTCCCTTTCTCTTCCTCTGCGCTGCCTAGCAGTGGCCCTTGCCTGTCAGTTTTATTAACGATGTGTACGATTCTGTCTCAAGGGAACGGACCCTTTGGTTTATGTTTTGGGAACATATTTCTTCTGATCTGGCAAACGTTGACTATTGGTCAACTCTGCTGGGCAGACCTTCTGATGCGGTTGTGGGGATCAGTCTTGGGAACATTCTGGCTCAAGGTCTTCCTCCACACCTGCACTGTAGAGTATTCCTTTATTTCAAAGTTGGGGCCTGACCTAGACACACTGCACACCCAGGGGTCCCACTGGACGGGCTTCACCCACCGCCCGCTGTGCAGCCATCAGACCGAGGTGTGGACCTGATGGGATTCTATTTTTCCTTTTAAATCTTTGGTCAGTTTTTGGGGAGTGTGCCACAGATGGCTTTTGATTTCTTTCCCCTGAGTGAATAACCGGGAGTCCCAGCATTGTGGGGGGCACATGGTGGGGGGTCCTTTCCAGCTATAGTTCTGCCTTTTGCGGGGTTAGTGTCCTCTGAGAATCCAAGGCAAGCTCTGGACCCTCCTGAGAGCAGTCCATGTGGGCTCCACATTTTATGGTCAAACCCCTGTGACATTGAGTCGTGTCTTTAATTTGCAGGAAATTCGTGTTTTTCAACATTCCTCAGATCCAGTACAAGAACCCCTGGGTGCAGATCATGATGTTCAAGAACATGACCCCGACGCCCTTCCTGCGCTTCTACCTGGGTGAGTGCCCGGTCCTGGCTGGGCCCTGGGGGCCGTCTGGGCGGCATCTGAAGGACGCTTCCTCCCAGCCCTTCTTCCCACGGCAGCAGATGGGGTCCGAGAAAGCACTTCCCTCGTGTCTCCTGCCAGGGCCCTCGGTGGCCTCCGATCTGGACACGTCACCCCCCCTCTCCTTCCTCACCTCCAGTGATCTCCTGCTCACGGGCTGGTTTTTGCACAATCTCTTGTTGTGCGGTGTGGAAAGGCCACGCCCTCTGCCCAGACCCCTCTCCACCCGCCTTTCCTTGTTTAACCAAATAAGACTTTCAAGGGGCTGGAGATGTTGCTGGGCCCTGGGCTCCGTCCCCAGTACTGGGGTCCTGTGGGAGGGGTCTGGGCACAGTGGGGTCCTTGTGGCAGGAGTCTTAAGGGGTCTTGATTGGCGTTTTGGCCAGCCATGCCCATCTCCGAGGGGCGGCGGGCACCCCATGTCCGGGGCTGTGCTGGACCAGCGTTCTCAAAGCAGGGCGTTGCTGCTGGGAGGTCCCCACCCCTCGCGGCTTCAGCGGCACTCAGTTCCCTACAGTTCACGGATGGCTCCCGAACTTCGGCCAGCGCAGGCAGGTCAGGGAGCAGAGGGCTGGCCTCGGTGGCCCCTCGTCTTGTCGACCCTGCGCGGCGACTCTCCTGTTTCTTCTCCAGTGAAGGCAGAACAGGGCTTGCAAGGGCTGGTGGCTCCAGGGACCTGCAGGTGGGGCGAACAAACCTGCCCTGCCCTTCTGCCTCTGCTGGGTGCATGGGCCCCTGGGAGAGGCCCGTCCAGCTCGGGCTCTCGGCCCTGGGGAGGCGCTCCAAGCAGGAAGCGGCAGAACAGATGAGAAACCCAGTGAGAGAACATGCTGGAACATCAGTGCTCTGACAGAATGAACCTGCAGCCGGGGCCCAGGGCGCAGAGAGGGTGATGGTGGCACCCGTGTGTTTGCGCTAGTGTCTGGGGGCTGCGCTGGAGCCCAGCCCAGGGGTCCCCGTGTTTTGTGAGGCCTCTTTCTCCCACCGCCTTCTTGATATTCGTCCTCCTTATCGTGAATCGGCAATTGATCATTGGGAGCTGCGGGTGGAACCCCGGGGTCTTTGGAGCCTGCTGGCCCAGCGCCCCGCCTGCAGCTGCAGCCTAGGCCTTGGGTTTTATAAAGCTAACTGTGGAGCCGCTGCTCAGAAACACAGGGGGCAGAGGCACTGGCGGGATGGAGGGGCGGCTGTCCTGGTCTGTGTCCTCCAGCCCTCAGTGGAGAAGCACAGGTTTCCGTCTTGGTGGTGTTCCTCCCTCTCCCAGAGGCGAGCCTGCTGGGGCTTCTCTCACCCAGAGATGTTTTGTCACAGCTTCAGATAAGTGTGGTCTCCTGGTCTGTCTTTTTGGATAGTGGGGGGTGGACAGAAGACTGTCCCTGCTTAGGAGCTGGATGAGTGTCAGGGCACAGTGTGGGTCATCCACCCCCTTGTGCCCGGGGTCATTGTGCTAGCCATATGCCCCCTGTGGGAGAGGAGCCCCCACACAGCACTGTGCTCTGGGCCCTGGGAGCTGCAGCCCACCAGGAGGGTCGGGGTCCTGGTGTCTTGTGAGGCCTCTTTCTCCCACTGCCTTCTTGATATTCGTCCTCCTTATCATGAATCAGCAATTGATAATCGCAGCTGCAGGTGGAACCCGGGGCCTTGTATGAGCCGAGCCGCCTCTAATGGGCTTTTGTTTAGACACAGGGTCTCACTATGATGCCCAGGTTGGCCTCCAATTCCTGGGCTCCAGCGATCCTCCTGCCTTGGCCTCCTGAGTAGCTGGGACCACAGCACAGCCTTTGTTCTTGGCTTCTGTTTCTTTTCATTGTGGAGTGACACACCACAGTGGTTTACCCATTCCCCTGCTGAGGGTGCTGGGCTTTTGCTAGGTGCTGAGACATCGGGGTGAGACTTATTGGAGAAAGACCTTGAAAGATAAAGGGCTGCAGGAGGCGGGGCAGGGGAAGGGGCCGGATCTCTCTCTGGGACAGGAGGTCTGGGGAGGGGGAGCTGCAGATGTCAGTACAGCTGAGAGGGTCAGCCCCAGGCCTGTCCCAGCTCTGCTGGGCAGAACGTCCCTGAGAGCGTGGGCTCAACCTGGGGTGCAGCAGACCCCAGAGGCACAGTGACGGGGCTGCCGGCTGGCTGGTACTTGAGGGAGCTCTTCTGAGGGGAAAGCTAAGCAGGTCTCCCTGCAGCACAGCCCCACAGGCTGAGTGGGCTGAAAAGAAAGGAGTTTACTTCTTACAGTTGTGGGTTTTTTGTGGTTGTTGTTACCATTGTTGTTGTTTTCCTTAATTGTATAGGGATTGAACCCGGGGTTCACTGAGCCACATCCCCAGCCCTTTTTATTTATTTTTTTTAATGAATTTATTTATTTACTATTTTTTTTAGTTTTCGGCGGACACAACATCTTTATTTGTATGTGGTGCTGAGGATCGAACCCGGGCCGCACGCATGCTACCCCTTGAGCCACAGCCCCAGCCCCCCCAGCCCTTTTTATTAAACACAGGGCCTCGCTGAGTTGCGTAGGGCTTCCCTAAGTTGCTGAGGGTGGCTTTGAACTCGTGATCCTCCTGCCTCGGCCTGCTGGGATTAGACATGCTCCACCTGGCTGGGCTTGTTTCTCACAGTTCCAGAGGCTGGGAATGCCAGAGTGCAGGGCCATCTGGTGAGGGCCCTTCCTGCGTCTAGACCAGCAGAGGGCATCACAGGGTGAGAGCAAGGGTGAGGCGGGGTCTCTCCATCTGATAAAGCCACTGGTGCCTGCTGGAAGCCCCCCTCCTGACCTCCTCTAACCTTAACCCTCCCAGAGGCCCCCCTCCAAGTACCACCAGTATATCAATTTGGGAATTGAGTTTCCAACACGTGGCCTTTGGGGGGACACATTAAAACCATGGCACATCTGCTGGGTGCGGTGGTGCACACCTGTAATCCTGGGACCAGGAGGCTGAGGCAAGAGGATCACAAGTTAGAGGCCAGCCTCAGCAACTTGGCGAGACCCATCAAAAAGGTAAAGAACCCCTAAGTTCAACCCCCAGTACTGCAAAACAATAGCAGAAACCACTGCACACCTGCAGAGTCTCGTGTGCTGTGAGAGACGGTGTGTCCCTAGGTTGTTCCAAGGGATTGGGGCATGGGCATCTTTACAAATAAAGCACTATGTAATATGCTATATATCATATAATATGTTTTAATAATAATAAAACGTTATTCTGTTGGGGGAGAGGGATCATTACTCTTAAGACTTCTAAATTTCAGCCATTCCAGGGGCTGGGATGCAGCGCAGTGTGCTTAGCATGTCCAGGGTCCTGGGTTCAGTCCCTGTCAGTAAAAAGGAAAAAAAAAAATATAGGCATCCAGTGGTGTGTGTCTCTGGGTTCTGTTGTCTGTGTGTTTTAGCTCCTTAGGGTTCTGCATGGTAACTGGTACCCAACAGCTCAGAGGTGCACAGAAACCGACTTCAGTTGGTGACCCTTCCCTCCCAGCCCCCTCCTCTCCGTTCTCCCTCCTCTATTCTATAGGCTCCCTCTGGCCCGTCTCTTGGTCTGCATCTGGTGGGTTCTGTAATCTTCTCCCCCCATTTCCTTTATTCTCCTCTAACTTGCACACGTGAGAGGACATTTGACCGTGGAGTTTCTGGGTGTGGCTCATTTCACTCAGCATGATATTCTCCATTTCCACCCACTGACCAGAAAATGCCCCGATTTCATCCTTTTTATCGGCTGAGCAGAACTCCTCCGTCTGTGTACACCACAGTTCTCAATCCATTCACCTGTTGACAGGCATCTGGGTTGATTCCATGATGTAGCTGTTGTGAATTGTGCTATAACAATGATGTAGCTGTGTCACCGTAGTATGCCGATTTTGGATCTTTTGGAAGAAAACCCAGGACTGGGGCAGCTGGGTCAGGTGGTGGTTCTATCCCTAGTTTTTTTTCTTTTTGGTGGTGGTGGCGGGGTACTGGGGATTGAACTCAGGGGCACTGGACCACTGAGCCCCCTCCCCAGCCCTATTTTGTGTTTTGTTTAGAGACAGGGTCTCACTGAGTTGCTTAGTACCTTGCTGTTGCTGAGGCTGGCTTTGAACTCGCGATCCTCCTGCCTCAGCCTCCTGAGCTGCTGGGATTATAGGCTTGCGCCACCATGCCCGGCCTATCCCTAGTTTTTTGAGGATTCTTAGTCATTGCTATCCTGACTGGAGTGAGATGAAATCTCAGTGTAGTTTTGATTTGCATTTCTGTAATTACTAGAGATGTTGAACACCTTTTCATATATTTGTTTATTGGTTGTATTTCTTCTGTGAAGTGTCTGTTCAGTTCCTTACCCATTTGCTGATTGGATTTTGGGGGGGGGTGTTAAGTTTTTTGAGTTCTTTTTAAGTCCTTTATAAGTTGGTGCTCTGAGGTACATGGTGGTAAAGATTTTCTCGCCTTCTGTGGGCGCGCTCTTCACATTATTGTTTCCTTTGCCGAGAAGAAGCTTTTTAGTTTAAATCTATCCCATTTATTGATTTTTGATTTTACTTCTTGCGCTTTAGGAGTCTTGTTAAGGAAGTCGGTTCCTGAGCTGATCTGGTGAAGATTTGGGCCTACTGTTTCTTATGCTAGGCACAGGGCCTCTGTTCTAGTGCCTAAATCCTTGTCCACTTTGAGTTATGTTTTGTGCATGGTGAGAGAGAGGGGTTTAATTTCATGTTTGTTGCATATGGATTTCCAGTTTTCCCAGCACCATTTGTTAAAGAGGCTAGCTTTTCTCCGATTCTTTGTCTCTGTGTCTTCTATTCTGTACCATTTTGTCTGTTTTGGTGCCAGTACCATGCTGTTTTTGTTGTTATAGCTCCCTAAAGTCTGGTATAGTGATGCCTCTTGCTAAGGATTGCTTTGGCTATTCTGGGTCTCTTATTTTTCTAAATGAATTTCATGATTGCTTTTGTCCATTTCTATGAAGAATGTCATTGAGATTTTAATA